CAACATTTAAACACCACAATGGTGTAATTTTAAATTTAAGAACATCTGCAGATGTGTTCATACGGTGGTTATCATGGAACCTTAAATGTGACACAGTATGGTCCCTAAGTTAAAGAATGCGTGTGCTCTAAACGAGAATACAATGGGCGGAACTAAATAAAAGGGATCATAGGTTATGTTAAATGCGTTGCTTCAGCACATGTTAATCCACGAAGAGGTGCATTAATTTTGTATAATTATATAGGGCGTATGTTAGACATACAAATATTTAAAGAATCATATGTAATTTATAAATGTACAGTTAATTACCTTTATGTATTAAACTGATGCAAGTGACACCTAATGCAATTATAATGATAGGAAATGAAGTAAAAATGTAGTGTTTTTAGCAAATAAATATCGGTTCTGGTGAAATCTTCAAAACGCGGAATTTGTTAATTATATTGGTACAAAAATACCGCCGTCAACAGTTTCCTTAGAATTTAGCTATTACCTACTCTCATGAAACAACTGATAAAGCTTGTGTACAATAAGATTGTCCTATATGCCTCGCTTGTTTCCAGTACTTTAAAACTTCGATACTTCGATTGTCATAACCTAAATGAAATCAAAATTTACATATAGTCAAACATAAAAACACGCTCCCTGATAGCACAATTTGAAACCCCACAAAAAAGTAACCAATGAACGAGCATCTGAATATGACATTTCCGTCGCTATCCCTTTCTCTGTCGTCCCCAGACAAAATGACCTAATCAATGGGCATGTTCTGGAGTGCGGGTAACTAATACCTGCACTCCAGTTAACGCACTTGCATGTATATGTATACGATTTAACTCTGTCCCTTTTTCAACAAAAAGGTCCCCAAACTATGATACAAAAGTACTTTTATTGTACTGCAAAAAGACATGGATATATGATTTGCCTTCTTTTAGTCTATTAAATTAGTAAATAACATATCAAAAAGTTTCAATTTGTAATTTTCACTTTCTTCAAACCATTTTATCAATTCCGAATTATCCAACCAAATATGTTTGAATGAATTAGGCTATTCTATATTGCTTATAACTTCATGCAATCCAATATATGCTGTCTAAAACATTTATTCATAATATAGAGAGACCAAGTAAATAAGGATTCCAGTCTTTCTTATAAAACTTCATCTTGTTAAATTACAGTCCACTGGAATTTCCAGATAAATGGAATAAAGTATTTTTTTACAAGATGTCGCGCCTGAAGCTAAATGTTTACTTCTTTCATACACGTATTTATAGCTTTTAATCAATGATTATTATCTCACGAACTTTATAGAAACCTTCCTCATACATCATTGAACCTGAAGTCTTAATAGCGTCTAGATTCATACATGACTGATAATTCACACTGATTAGTGCGAAAATTCCTTACTTATATAAGTGATCTCCAAGATTAGATTTGAACCAGAACTTAAACAGGCTCAATCAAACCGAGCCTGTATCATTTTCAATTTTGCCGTGTTGAGCTTTCTTTAAGGATTCTTATTATACCCCGCACAACAAAGTTGTAAGGTATAGTTGAATCAGCTTGTCCGGCCGTCGGGCGACCGTCGGTTTTTTCTTGTCCGCCCAATAACTTAAGATTCCTTTGACCCACAGTCTTCATATTTGGCATGGGGGTTAGTCATGATTAGTAGATGTCCCCAATTGATTTTGAGGTCACCAGGCCAAAGGTCAAGGTCACAGGGGCCTTGACTTTAAAAAGCTTGTCCGCCCAATAACTAAAGATTCCTTTGACCCACAGTCTTCATATTTGGCATGGAGGTTAACTTAAGATTCCTTTGGCCCACAGTCTTCATATTTGACATGGAGGTTAGTCATGATTAGTAGATGACCCATATAGATTTTGAGGTCACCGGGTCAAAGGTCACAGGGGCCTTGACTTTAGAAAGCTTGTCCGCCCAATAACTTAAGATTACTATGACCCAGTCTTTATCCGTGTTATTTGTGCCGTGTGGCGGCTGTAAAAAGTCTCCCCGTACATTTAATCAATGATGTTATATTTTCGATCCTTGAAGATTGTTCAGGACGTCATTATTGTTGTGCTTGTGGTATTTTTAGTTTCAACTTTTCGGCATTTTCTAGTTGGGTGGTTCCAATATTCCTACATGAATAATGTTGAATCACCCTTAGGATATGTTGCCTGCTTTTTAAATTTGTCTTTTGACGTCTTATCTGTGATACGCAGGCTTCATAACCTCTGATCCCCTTTCAAAATTCCATTTTATTTAGTTCCGCCCATTGTTTTCTCGTTTAGGGCACACGCTTTTTATTACTTGGGGACCATACGCCGCTTTTCATGGAATGGCACGGAAGTGTCACATTGAAGGTTCCATGATAACCGCCGTATGAACACATCTGCGGATGTTTCTAAATTCAAAATTTTACTATTTCACGTTTAAATGTTGAATTCTGCTTAAGCCGGTGCTAGGGGGCGTGGACGGTAGCTTGCACCATGAACAGGCTCAATCAAACCGAGCCTGCAACATTTTCAATTTTGCTGTGTTGGGCTTTCTTTAGGGATTCTGTATTTATCTATTTTTTTTTTATATTTGGCATAGAGGTAAGTCATGATTAGTAGATGACCCCTATTGATTTTGAGGTCACCGGGTCAAGGTCACAGTGGTCTTTAGCTCAAAAGGCTTGTCCGCTCAATTGCTCAAGAATGCTTTGGTCAACATATTTGGTATTAATGTTGGTTTTCACTAGTAGATGACCCCTATTGATTTTTAGGTGACTTTGTCAAAATATGAAAAACAAGATCAACAAGGAAAGGCGGCGTTCAATGAACGCAACCCCCACATAACCCAGCAACAAGAACCAACGGCAAGGAGCCCAGGCGGACCCCAAACATAAAAAGGACAGGGCAACGACACGTTAATCATTAAATTATAAATAATTTGTAACTGATTAGGAATTCAAAGAAAATAATAAATAGGCCCACAAAGGGGAAGGGGACAGAAGACCGGGGAAGGGGGGGGGGTTAATCAAAGAAATAAAAACTAGAGGCAATGGGGAAAATACTTACCGTAGACGAGAAAACAACAAGGGACACAAGCAAGTGTCACCAAAACAGTATGAAACAACATAGACAAACATCTGAGGAACACAGTGGGGCGCCGCCTTGGAACGGTCAGCAGCATAATAATGACTGCTGGGGAGTTTAAACCGGTTAATGGTGCACCAAACCTCGCTCTTAGCCCCACCATGTTCCTATAAACGAGACAGTGTAAATAAAATGAATCCCCGCCAAGTGAAATTCTAACAGTTGTCATGGTTACAAAAGGTTAAATAAGTAAAACACTAAAATGCTCTTGTAGAAACATATAAAAGTAAACTCAATGACCATAACAAAAGTACTCAATGTCCTAAAGGAGGACAGAGCAACAAGAAAATCACCTACAAGGGCCCGACGAAGCAAGGCAGAAGACGAACATTAAGACAATTCAGTCCCAAAGGGCTTTACGAACTATCCATCATAGAGTCTCCCACTTGGTCCGTCAGATGCAATCAAAAGAGGAAAGCGTAGTGTCCAACTGTAAAAGGGTTGAACACTAAACATGCAGTATGTCTTAAAATAGTAGGGTCATAACCTCTTTTAATAAAACGTTTAATGATTTTAGTAAAAACAGCAGAAAAATTACCATGACCCAAAATCTTACGAAGTTTGTAAACCACATCGCCATAAAAACCAGGCTGGCTAATCCCTTGTCGCAGAAGAGTTTTTAAATCACTATTGAATTTAGAAATTAAATCAAAGTTACGATTGTAAAATTTAGTAAAATATTTCCGTAATTTATGATAGCGGTAGCCCTGTTTAAGAAGCTTGCTGGTAATAAAAATATTCCGCTCGTTGAAATCCTTTACGTTGTTACAAGCTCTAGCGAATCTAATTAACTGAGAAACATAAACCCCGTAGGATGTTGCATGGGGTACGTCTCCATCTAAATGTGGATAATTAACTATACAAAAGTCAAAGGTCACAGGAGTTTTTAATACAATAAGCTTGTCTGCTAATATGCTAAAGAATGCCTGTCCACAATGCAGTTTGTTCATGACCAATTCCACCTCACAACAAAGTTATAAGGAGGACATACTGAAATCAGCTTTTCTGTTTGTTTGATTTTGACCTCCCAATAAATTATACAATGTACAGTCTTAGAAATTTGTGGGGCAGTTGGATGTGATATGTAGAAGACCCCTGTTGATTTTGAGTTGAAACTGGTTGTCATGGATATTGTGTCCTTTAAATATGTTCAATCAAAGCTACAGAATATTTTTGTGTTAAGCTTTATAAGTTGGGGAGGTTTGTCATATTTGATGTTACTACATATATTTAAAAAAGTGTTACTACTTGTATGTAACAAAACCCTAGAATAGACATTTCAGAATATTTGCCTCCAACAGGTAAGAATATGACAACATGTAGAATTATATATAGCATGCTTTCATGGTGCCAGATATACTGATTCATATGATACCTAATGTTGCTTGGTTTAAATTAATAATTTACAATATCATTTGGTTCAGAAAAGTGTTTTTATTATTTTTTAAATTCCTATATGATTGTAATGGAATGGAGGGTAACTTTTCTTTTTACATTGGGTAAATCCTTTTTTAATTGTTTTTATGAATATCTTGGTGTACACATTAACTTATATGAATCAGTAAAACGAAGCGACGCCTTCCCGTGGTGGCACCGTCAACAGGCGTCCGTCCTGGAGTGTAGTGCTTTAACCTTCACCATATATACTCATTTCTTGCTTTCCCGATGGTTTCTGCTGCTCCAACTGGAATTTTACTCTGGGTAAGAGTGGCATCAGACAGTTTTCCTCGTTCAGCATTAAGCTGTAAACAGGTATAATATGAAAGGCAGGGTATTGAAAATATCAGGAAAGAAACCTTTTATTTTTCAGCAAATATTGATTCATACATGAATATCTCTAGAATTGTATAATTCCAGTTGGAAACCATTGGGAAACCAGACCTAAGTCAGGTGTGCATACATATATATATTTTAATGTAACATAGTAAATCCTTGCATGAATAGATGTGGCCAAATTACAGCATTGATGGGTTTTTATGTGTGATGAATATCAACAATGTTATAAATCTCATGACAGAGTATGGTGACACAAATTGAAATATTACATATGCACGACTTAATAAAATATTTGAATAACTCACCTGTACAAAAGTTATTTTACAGTAAGGGTTCTATTAATTCCATGAAGGGTGACTTCTACTATTGTTATCAGCCTAATTTTATATTTATGTTGGCATTAAATTTTACCTTCTACATTATAACATATCTGTTTCTGTCTAAGCTTTAGATTGAAAACTTTTATTCTTTTTCAATTATCACAAACTTGCAAATAATATATGGCTTATACCTTCCTGCATATAACTTTAGGTTAAGGGTAGTACTGGATTGCAGAAACACACAGACAAACAGTACACTGGTGATGAAAAACTTCATTTAATGCAATCCCGACCCTGCCATAGTGAACAAACGACATCCATTCAGGTACAGCAGATATATTATGATATGATATGAAAAACAAGATCAACAAGGAAAGGCGGCGTTCAATGAACGCAACCCCCATATGACCCAGCAACAAGAACCAATGGCAAGGAGCCCAGGTGGACCCCAAACATAAAAAGGACAGGGCAACGACACGTTAATCAATAAATGATAAATAATTTGTAACTGATTAGGAATTCAAAGAAAATAATAATAGGCCCACAAAGGGGAAGGGGACAGGAGACCGGGGGAAGGGGGGGGGGGCGTTAATCAAAGAAATAAAAACTAGAGGCAATGGGGAAGATACTTACCGTAGACGAGAAAACAACAAGGGACACAAGCAAAAGTGTCACCAAAACAGTATGAAACAACATAGACATACATCTGAGGAACACAGTGGGGCGCCGCCTTGGAACGGTCAGCAGCATAATAATGACTGCTGGGGAGTTTAAACCGGTTAATGGTGCACCAAACCTCGCTCTTAGCCCCACCATGTTCCTATAAACGAGACAGTGTAAATAAAATGAATCCCCGCCAAGTGAAATTCTAACAGTTGTCATGGTTACAAAAGGTTAAATAAGTAAAACACTAAAATGATCATGTAGAAACATGTAAAAGTAAACCCAATGACCATAACAAAAGTACTCAATGTCCTAAAGGAAGACAGAGCAACAAGAAAATCACCTACAAGGGCCCGACGAAGCAAGGCAGAAGACGAACATTAAGACAATTCAGTCCCAAAGGGCTTTACGAACTATCCATCATAGAGTCTCCCACTTGGTCCGTCAGATGCAATCAAAAGAGGAAAGCGTAGTGTCCAACTGTAAAAGGGTTGAACACTAAACATGCAGTATGTCTTAAAATAGTAGGGTCATAACCTCTTTTGAGTTTACCTTTGTTATTTCCAAGAAAAATTATCAAATATGAAAAACAAGATCAACAAGGAAAGGCGGCGTTCAATGCAGCATGTATTGACATTACCTTATTATTTGTTAATTGTTTTGAATAGCATACATTTTGACTTTTTCTAGTTGGGTGGTTCCAATATTCCTACTTGAATCATGTTGAATCACCCTTAGGATATGTTGCCTGCTTTTTAAATTTGTCTTTTGACGTCTTATCTGTGATACGCAGGCTTCATAACCTCTGATCCCCTTTCTAAATTCCATTTTATTTAGTTCCGCCCATTGTTTTCTCGTTTAGGGCACACGCTTTTTATTACTTGGGGACCATACGCCGCTTTTCATGGAATGGCACGGAAGTGTCACATTGAAGGTTCCATGATAACCGCCGTATGAACACATCTGCGGATGTTTCTAAATTCAAAATTTTACTATTTCACGTTTAAATGTTGAATTCTGCTTAAGCCGGTGCTAGGGGGCGTGGACGGTAACTTGCACTTTCCAGTACCGTCCATGAACAGGCTCAATCAAACCGTGCCTGCAACATTTTCAATTTTGCTGTGTTGGGCTTTCTTTAGGGATTCTATATTTATCTATTTTAGTAATTTTGAGGTAAACAGTAATACAAGAAAACAAAGTAAACAGTACTGCAAGTAGCTGAAATTCTGTCATCTCATTCTTTTATATCAAAACATGTATATTTTTTTGCAGGCCCAGACTGATTGTTTACATGTAGCGCAGTATTCACCGTCAGCCTTAGCAGCATTAGTGGGAGACCATGTTACAGAGATTCCTGATGATATCATCGTTGCAGCTCTGAATCTGTTAAAGTCTGTGTGTAATAATGAATTGGAACCTTATGTTGGATACTTCACTCCTGCTGAAATATGATAAACAAGATCAACAAGGAAAGGTGGCGTTCAATGAACGCAGCCCCCATATGACCCAGCAACAAGAACCAATGGCAAGGAGCCCAGGCGGACCCCAAACAAAAACAGGACAGGGCAAATACATCATGTGTGCTCTGAGTGTTAATAATAGTGACTTTCTGGGTGTCCTGCTTGGGTGTGTGCGGGGGCAGCGTCCTGTGAACGCTGCCTTTGCCTTATTGATCTTTATTCTTGATATTTGAAACAATGTTTGCCTGATGGATTGTTCTCAGTAAATATACACCCATTACAAGGACACTGGGTTACTTCCTGCTACTTCCCTCAAACAAATATAATCCATGTTTACGACTCATTGATGTCATCAACTCACTACCAACAAGTCATCCCACAATTAAAACTAGTTTATGGTGAAAAAAAGACAACAAATGTAATATACCGTGGAGTCACTCAACAAGGACATGAACCACTATGTGGTGTTATGGCAATATGCTTTGCCTTCTCAGCTTTCCTTGGTCATGACCCAGGGCTAATAAACTATGATATCTCTAAAGCGAGACATCACCTAAAGAAGTGTTTCTTACAAGGTGAAATAATTCCATTTCCTGAGATTAGTACAGATAGTTGCAAACACTCTAAACTGATAACAACTACTGATACAATGCAGGAAGCTGGACCTACCTACCCTCTATATACTGCTACAAAGCTTACAGTGGATCCTCTACCAATACCAAAGTAAGGCCATAATACAAATTACCTGATATTATTTCACCAATGTAAAAAAGTTGATTTCCTTTTTTAGACTGCTATAGTTATAATATCTTTTACACCAAAATGCTTTTTTAGAGTCAAAATGGAAATAAGCTACAATGAATTTTATGAAGCTGTTCCATCATTGGCAATAAAATGTGTACTCTATTGATGTCACTTAGTACTTGTTCAAGTAGAATTATACTTTCAACAGAAATTACTGATATGATGTTGTGTAAAAAATCATGGCTTTAATTAATGGATTTCTTTACCAAAATCTAAATTTTGTATCTATATTTTCAGGGTATGTAAATGTTCTGCAATCAGGGAATTCGATCCACAGAGTAGCAATACACTCCTTCAAGGCTACCTCAGAGATCAGCAAAAGAAGCAAAGTGAGAAACAGAAAGAAAATTCAAATAAAGTCGATAGTACTATGCAATCCCCAACACAAACCTGTGTTCTCAGAACAGACAACTTGAAGTTTCAATCCTCACATAATCGTGATCGTCTGAAAGAAAGAGAATATAAAAGGAGAAGTAGATCAAAGAAAACTGTACATATGAAAGAAAGAGAAAAACAAAAAGAAAAACCGTTTAAACAGGAAAAAAGGAAAGATTTAAGTGTTCGTAAAAGAGACAAAATCATTAAAAAAAGGCGTAAGCTGAAAAGGAAAGCAGATTCCAGTGTTCGTGAAATAGAAAAAGAAAAGGAAAAGCTTTCCAAACGGAAAAGTAGAAAAGATTCAAGTGTTCGTGAAAAAGAAAAAGAAAAGGAAAAGCTTTCCAAGCGGAAAAGTAGAAAAGATTCAAGTGTTCGTGAAAGAGAAAAAGATATCGAAAAACAGTGTAAGCTGAAAAGGAGAGCAGATTCCAGTGTTCGTGAAAAAGAAAAAGAAAAGGAAAAGCTGTGTAAGCGGAAAAGTAGAAAAGATTCAAGTGTTCGTGAAAGAGAAAAAGATACCGAAAAACAGTGTAAGCTGAAAAGGAGAGCAGATTCCAGTGTTCGTGAAAAAGAAAAAGAAAAGGAAAAGCTTTCCAAGCGGAAAAGTAGAAAAGATTCAAGTGTTCGTGAAAAAGAAAAAGAAAAGGAAAAGCTGTGTAAGCGGAAAAGGAGAAAAGATTCAAGTGTTCGTGAAAGAGAAAGGCAGAAAGAAGCAAACTTAAAAAGACAAAGTAGAACTCTCTCTAGTGAAGAAAACATAGCTATTGAAGCATTTAAAACGGCTATTGAGGATGGTCCTACATACATTTGCACTGTTTGCAATAGATTGTTGTTTAAAAATACTGTTTCCCAATTTGATATTTCAAAGTTTAAAGACAGTAATGTACATATAGTTGAGAACTGTAGAACAAAAAAATCATCCCCAGATGGCATAGAGTACATCTGCTCTTCATGCAAATTACAGTTGCAGAAAGGATACTTACCATCATTATCAGTATGCAATGGGCTTAATCTGGATGATATTCCACAACCACTAAAAGATCTCAATACCTTAGAGACCACATTCATTGCTAGGAGAATACCTTTCATGAAATTGCTGGCATTGCCTCGTGGAAAGCAGCGAGCTGTTCACGGATGTGTTGTTAACATACCTGTTGAACCAACTGAATCTGTCTCTGTATTACCAAGAGTACCTTCCAGTGATACATTTATTCCAGTAAAATTGAAAAGAGCTTTAAAGTACAGGGGCCATGTATATAGTCAGAATATAAGACCACAAAAAGTTAAAGACGCACTGTATATTCTTAAACATAATATGAACAACAAACTATACTCTGATATTATAATAGATGATGAATGGGACTGCCACTGTAACAACACAAATCCGGAATTATGGACTTGTCTTACAAATGAGCCTTTAAGTGATGATAATACCAATACTGCAAAAAGTCCTGAAGAATCAGATGGGAACAAAGTTCTTACAAAAGATACAGATGATGGAGAAAACAATCATACTGAAACTCAAGATACCGATGATGAAATAGATAAATACAGAATCCCTAAAGAAAGCCCAACACGGCAAAATTGAAAATGTTGCAGGCTCGGTTTGATTGAGCCTGTTCATGGACGGTACTGGAAAGTGCAAGTTACCGTCCACGCCCCCTAGCACCGGCTTAAGCAGAATTCAACATTTAACAGGAACTGGTAAAATTTAGAATTTTGAAACATCCGCAGATGTGTTTATGATGAAATTGAAGATGAAAGAGCTAAATTTAGTGGAGTCCCAAAGGTAAAGGTCACTTTGATCTTTGCCACTAAAAACATGTAGAATACATAACTAAGCAATGCATTGTGAGGCTTACTACTCTCAGATAACAGGAAGGTTCTCCATGAGCTCTAAATGTGTTGATTCTGACAAAGCGGTATGCGGGGGTATTCAATAGAATAGAGAAATACAGAATCCCTAAAGAAAAAAAAATCTGGAAACAAAGTGATCCCTCGGAAGCATTAATCACAACAAGATTACAAGAGAAAGCCCAACACGGCAAAATTGAAAATGTTGCAGGCTCGGTTTGATTGAGCCTGTTCATGGACGGTACTGGAAAGTGCAAGTTACCGTCCACGCCCCCTAGCACCGGCTTAAGCAGAATTCAACATTTAAACGTGAAACAGTAAAATTTTGAATTTAAAAACATTCGCAGATGTGTTCATACGGCGTTTTTCATGGAACCTTCAATGTGACACTTCCGTGCCATTCCATGAAAAGCGGCGTATGGTCCCCAAGTAATAAAAAGCGTGACAATGGCAGTTTTAGTTTTCTCTATTTTAAGATACACTGTTTTGTCAAAGGTTCATGTTTATACATCACATAAGCTTTAAAATATGCCCCAGGTAAAGAATTAAGTACAGCTATTTACAAAGGGCATTTAATGTTATCCCGAACAAGGTACATATGTGTGTTTTTCCAATATAATATGATTAACAAGATCAACAAGAAAAGGCGGTATTCAATGAACGCCCAACGTCCAAAATATGATAAACAAGATCGACAAGGAAAGGCGGCATTCAATGAACGCAAGCCAACCCCCTTCTCTACCAACCTAGATGTGCGAATGTTATAAAACAGAAAAACTACTAGTTATATTCATACAAAACTTTGATTAAAATACTACAATAGATAAATAAACGAGAAAGAATACTTAAATCCTTTTTTAAACTAACTCAATAGAGTATTATAAAGCAATGGTGTCATGATGACCCTACATTGCTCACGTTCCATCCATTAGTTTGTGCAAGATCATGACATTCAAGAAAGAAATGTTTGACGGTGCATATATTTCATTACCGCTTAACACTATAAAATATCGTTTCTTGCTGAAAGATGAGAATGCATAATCTTTGTTGAGTTTATTTATTGAGTATTTAATGAGTTGAAGCAAAAGCGTATACTTTTCCGTTAACTAATATTCCTACGTTAAAAATTATTTGATTGACCTTTTTTTCTAAAAATATCAGGACATCGCAAGAGGGGTTTCTCAATCATAAGGCACCAAACCAGAATCGAGAGATGACACAAGGGCGGCAAATAGAGGAAGACGCAATTAGTGAAACAATAAGAACAAAAGGGGCCGAAATGGGAACCATAGGGACAAGGGGCGCAAAAGGAAAGATTGGGGACGGAAGGGAAATCTGGGCTTTTTACCGGAGTATAAAAGTTGGCTCCATATTAATGTTGAATTGAAGGCATGTGTCTTTGTGGATTAACGTTCCATTATTTGGTAAATAGCATTTAATTATGTGCTGTAATCACATTATGTCCTTCAAACGTTTGAATAATAGACTATTTCATATTCGACACTAGATTATTTGCCTTCTTTCAATAGTCTTTATTACCTACGTCTTTATCTATCATTCGTCACAAAAATGTACGCAGTAAATAAAAATGACGCTATTTTTGATACGTCATACGTATTACATCTATAAATTCTTCATATAAGCAAACTTTACATACAAATGAAGTCTGGTCAGAAAACTTTTAGTACTTTAGTTTACACTTGTTTGATTAACATTTTTCAGGGTTATTATTGTTTGTGATTGCAGATGTCTTGTCTTTTAAAAATGCAACACTCCCGCTTTCGTGTGCATTCTTGACAAGGTTATAACTTAAAGCAAATTATTCTACAACATTCAGTTAATTTTTACTTTTATGAATAAGCCTACCTTACCGGATAAACCCCTTAAGAAATTCTAGCAGGAACTCATTTTGCAATATTTAATGTTTTTCTTCTTTATCTCACAGG